TGTTGAAACTGATCAGCGGCTGATTCCAGGAAGCCCGGGGCAGAGCAGCTCTGCCTCAGGCTTCCTGAAGTCAGCAGCTGGTCAGTTTCAACAGCAGCTGAATCTGGACGCCAGTTCCGACTTACATACAAATTCAACTTAAGAACAAACCTACAGTCCCTATCTTGTACGTAACCCAGGGACTGCCTGTAAATATTATTGATGATTTTTAAAAAGTGAGGGATTATTCAATGTCATTCATGAAAACTGCTAATAAATCAGTAATTAATTGTATTCGGCTGGTTCTAAGCCTTCTAACAAAGGATTTAGCAGTACACAAGAGGGCAGCATTATTCTCCTAACATATGTTCAGACTGATGCAGGAACTTAATCCCTTCCCAAGCAGGTAAGCATACCTGGGGTGAAATGTGAATTCTAAACCCCCGTATAACACTGACACCACAAAAAGGAGGGTGCACCTGGGAGTAAATGGATTTATATCAGGATCAGGGGCTGCAGGGATGAGTGAGCAGAAGTCATCTTTAAAATAAAAATACTCCTGTTAAGTAGGAATAATGCTCTTGGGTCAGCAGCAAGTCTCTCCCAGAGGCAGGGACACATTCCCTCCCTACCGCCTGGGAGAAATGTGTTGCTCTGTCTTCCACAGGGAACTGCTGCTGTCGCTGAGGAAGAAGTGCCGCTCCTCCGGCCAAGCAATTCTGTGCTTGAGTCTCGAGCCCCTAGCTGGGTGAGGCTCATTAAACAGCTGTGGGGCTGCCCTACCACAGAGCTTAGAGGGAGCATTCAGCTCACAGTTACACTGCAAGAAGCACTGCAGCAAAGAATAGATCCTACCAGCAGGAAAAACTCATGTGCCCCAAACAATATATCCTGCTTTCTTAATGATGTCATGCACAAGTTGCCACATTATCAAATAATTTTAAAAGCTCTTTCTGCTTGGGAAAGAAAGGAAGACTTTTTATATATTCTTCCCTACCAGAGCACCTACCTGTATTTTAGTGAATATAACCTGCTGGTTATATTCATTTTTACAAACCCCGCACCACCCACTGCGGGGTATACTTGGGTGCGTGGTATAAAAAATTTTTTTTACACACCAGCTCACCACCTGGTTCCTCCACAGCCATAGGAAGGGGCAGGGGGAGCGCTCATCTGGCTGTGCAGGAACCAGGCAGTGAGCGCTCCCCCGCCCAGTTCCTGCGCAGCCTCCATCCTCCGGGCAGTGAGCGCTCCCCCGCCCAGTTCCTGCACAGCCTCCATCCTCCAGGCAGTGAGCGCTCCCCCGCCCAGTTCCTGCACAGCCTCCAGCCTCCGGGTGGTGAGCACTCCTCACCGCCTGATTCCTCCGCAGCCATAGGAAGGGGCAGGGGAAGCGCTCATCTGGCTGCACAGAAACTGGGTAGTGAGCACTCTCCCGCCTGGAGGCTGAGCAGGAACCAGGCGGTGAGTGGCTGGCTAATTTCCCTCCTCCCCTCGGGCCACAAATATACCACCAGCACAGCCTTGTATACCCCGCGGATTATACTCGTGTGCGGGGTATACAAGATTTTTTTAACTCAAAAAGCAAAAACCGCGGGGTATATTCGGGTATGGGGTAAATTTGGGTGCGGGGTATATTCGCTAAAAGATGGTACCTCTTTTTTGTTCCTGACATAACTATCTGGAGTTCACAGCAAAAACTAGAAAAATCTATTTAGGTTTTTTTGCACTAACAACAGTATATGTACAGTATGGATTTTAAATTACACTGACCTAAGCAATAGAATTGTCAATCTCTTCAATAAAAGTATTATATAATTCACAGCAAGTAAAACAAAATGTATTCAGTATCCTTTCAACATTTTGGTAGCAAAACTTTAGAAAATAAAGTTCAGAATTTTAAAAATAATTGAACCGTATTTGTACTGTTCATCTGAAAATTATTGAATATTTAACAATTTGTTTAACAAACATAGTAATTGTGTACTTACCTTTCCGTTAACTGCCTTCCTCATTAACGTGCATGATCCAGCAAACTGAATGCTGAGGCCACTGTAATCTTTACCACAAAAATTGTAAAACTGTATTGTCCTTTTTTAAATAGGAAATATTAAATCTGAGAAAATCACTTCTATACTAATTGTACACCAGTGTAAATCCACTCCCAGTTTACATCCATGAAAGTGCAACATGAATCAAAGCCCTTATGTCCCATAATTATAAATAAATTATAAAATTAGGTGCAAATTCATTACTAATCATTATATAACAGTGTGCTAGTGCAACTGATCAGCACAACCAAGAAAAGGGATAACACGCAATTATAATAATGTATTGATCAGGAACCCTGGCTTTCAGCCCTATGCAACCATTTTTGCATACCAATCCTTATATCATTCACAGATCAGAGAAAAAAAATACTTATGTATCATATCAACTGTAATTAAACATTTTAGTATCATACCTTTATAATGTAAAACAGCTTCTAATTCAAAGTTTGCCAAGTTTATTATGAACAAACCAGTGGAGCTTCCTATCCACAAACATCTGGCATTCACAGCAGGTAAACTAATTGTAAAAGAAGGAAGAAAAAGAGTTATCTGTAATCTTTTCCTTTTTATAACATATGCTACACAGCTCTGCTCAAGAATTTTAATACTTATTTCATCCCATCCCTGCACAAAGAAGATTGCATCCCAAAAAATGAAACCGTGTATTTCAATGTTAAATGGAGATATTTTCAAAAATAAAAGTCAATCAGAAAATTTGGATTTGAGAAATAAGAAAAAAGAGAAGTATCTAGGATTTTCTGTAATTGTTCAAAATGCGGAAGTTCTGAAAGAGAGAAGCCAAACTAATCATAATACACACAAATGTCCAACTAAAACAGGAAATGTCCAATTACTAAAAAAACCCAGTTAGACCAATTACAAGTGCCCATTTAGAATACCAGTTGAACAAATTAAGTGTCTACCAAGTAGCTATTATGACATCAATTACCAGTTAATTTATCTACATCTATATATCCATATACAATATCATCATAAAAATATTTATGACATAAAATACTCAGAAATATTTTGATTTTTATATTATAACCATATATAAAGTCTAATTACCAATCCAAACTAAATTACTTCGATGGTATTGAAAGAAAATGTAGATAATGTCAAAATATGTTATATTAATTTGTATGAAACCAAGTTTGGGGATTTTGTTCTGAAGGAAATTTCAAAATGTCTTTTTTTATCTGATTCATAGTACAGTAAAACTCTGATAATCCGGCATCCAACTGTTCGGCACTCCCGATACTCCGGCATCAAAATGCCACGCGCTCCTGACCAGCTGATTAAAAAGCCTGCCACTCAGCACACCTGCTGGCTGTAACCAGAGGGAGCATAAGGTTGGGGGAGGTGGGGAGGGAGTAGGATCCTGTTACAGTAAGGAGAAGAGCATTTTGCTTCAGGGAACCGGAAAGGGGAGAGGAGGGGGAGGAGGATCAGGTTACAGCACAGAGGAGATGCGAAGAGGAAAGGGGAGGAGAGAGGGAGGGAGACTGTGTCCTGGACAGCTGTTAAACCGTGCAGTTATACCGGACAAATCTGATAATCCGGTACCACCTAGGCCCAAAAGGTGCCGGATTATCAGAAGTCTACTCTGTGTGTGTGTGTGTGTGTGTGTGTGTGTGTGTGTGTGTGTGTGTGTGTGTGTGTGTATAAAAAGAGAGAGAGAGAGAGAGAGAGAGATAGATTTTGGAATTACTCACACAATAGAAATTTCAGTTTCCAAACAGATTTACCTAACAATCATTTGTAAATGCTACTGTCCAGGCTAATAAGAGGATAATAAAACAGCAAGCAACCACTAGTTTCACTTTCACAAAATTCTCCAGTACATAACCTATATGATCTCAACTGATCTTAAAATCAATAAGTCCTGGCTTAACTACCTAATTCAGATATCTAGTATCCCATTATGATTTGTTCTTACTAAGCAACTAAGGAACTCTGCCAAGAATCCTGAATTCTTTTAAATACTTAAGTATTAGTATTACTGCATATGCTACCGTGAACCACAATAAAAGCAAAACCCATTAAGGAGTACAGAAAGTTGTTCAGTAAAATACTACTCAATATGAATAAGGATGACTGAATCTGGCCTATCAGCTATATGAAAACAAAAATCAGGATTTCCTCTTTCTGTTCATTTGTGTGACCCCTCTTTGTGTGTAGGGGGGGGAAGAGTTGGGAGGGTAAGAGAATCAAACTGGGCTTAAAATAGAATTTAAAATAAAGAATACGATTTCACCACTTGACAGAGCTAAAATAACACCTTACGTATTTTTATTGTTGCATTTTGCAATAATTGAGAAGAACAATGTAAAATCTCTCTATAAAAATAATATATGCAAACACTGCATATTCATATATTATCTTAATTTTACCCACCTATTATGTGAGCCCAGCAAAGATAATTTAACTGAAGATACCTTTGGATATAATCAGGTTATGAGAAGATGAAAATTAGTATAAGGAAAATGCCATCCTAACAAAGCCAGAAAAGCCTAGAATGCCCACATGTGTGTTAAGAGAGTAATATAGGAAATTTTATAAAATGAAATTCACTACTCAACAATACAAAAGAACAGACTCATCTGTTTCAATTTTAGCTACCACTCTTAAGGAAAGAACTATAGTTGAACAATGTGGCAATAATCCCAAAAAGTGAGAAATGTGCTTAGGAAAAATATAAAAGTTGTTTATTTACAAAGACTAACAATGTTTTGATATCAAAATAAACAAAACTTTGACTCAATTTTTTTTAATTTTAAAAATTAGGTACTGCTTATGAAATAAGGCCTCAGGAATTGAAGTAAGTACATGGAAAAACACAAGACTAATGTTTGGTATGCTAACTGTCACCACAAATACTCAATTTATCTTTTTAAAAACAGTCAAACTCTGTCTTACTAGAGCAGGGAAATATAATCTTTGGGTTTTAATACTTCTGTAATGTTCTAATTAAAAATATACTTTTACTGCGCAGTCCTTAGCATGTATGGACTTCTACTTTAAAAATAATATTAAATCGGCAGCTATGTTACCCAGTTATGAAAACTGAAGACTGTACTTAGGGACTTGATACTGCTCTTATATCAGTTTCATACTGGCGAAACGTGATTACTTCAGTTGACAGTCTCTTGATTTTCAAAGATTTTGAGAGAACTATTAGGAAGTATTATTATAACAAGTTTTTAGTACTTAATGTTTAACATAACAGATTAATCAGCAATTTTCATATTATATGGGAGAGCTGAACATTTTACATGTTAAAAACAATATACATGCCCAGAACAATGCCACCTGAATATTAACCAATGAAAGATAAGGCAGATGGTCCTAGGTGTGGTCCACCAACAGTCTTGCTACTAGCTATATCAATAACAGGAAATTACTCACCTTCATGCAATAACGACGGTTCTTCAAGAGGTGTGTTCCCGGGGGTGCTCCACTGTAGGTGCCAGATAATACCAGCGAAGCAGATTGGAGTTTTCTTAAGTAGCAATCAGCCGGACCGCGCATGCGCAGCACTTGCCTCATGTCATTCGCTCTCTTTTGATGTTTCACGCAGTCCGGCTTCCGACAGTTCCTCAAATCCACCCTGGTATCTGGAAGATATAAGGAAAAATCCAAGGCTGGAAGGAAAGCAGGTAGTGGAGCACCCACGGGGACATACATCTCAAAGAACTGTCATTACTACACAAAGGTGAGTAACTTCCTCCTCTTCTTCGAGTGATGTCCCCATGGGTGCTCCACTGTAGGTGAATTCGTAGCAGTACTCAGTATAAGTGGTAGGTGGGCCTCGGATTTATGGCTTTATAGCGGTCGATAGGACCATGGAGGCCACAACAGTGTCATTTGCTTGAGTCTGCGAGATTGCATAGTGCTTCATAAAAGTGTCATTGGTGGACCACGTAGCCACTCTGCAGATGTCTTTGAGGGGAACCCCATGAAGAAAAGCTGTAAAAGTTGTCATCGCTCTTGTGGAGTGTACTCTAAGTGTTTTAGGTAATGGTTTATTCCTTAGAAAGTAGCATTGTGTGATGCATGACACTATAAGCCAGGAAATGCGTTGTGACCATAGCAGATACCCCTTATTATGGTCTGCTATAGAAATGAGCAAGTGATCCAATTTGCGGTAAGACCTAGCCCTGTCTATGTAGAATGCAAGGGCTCTCCATAGGTCCTGTAAGTTAGATGTTGCATCCTTTGCTGTTGAATGTTGTTTAGGGTAGAACAAAGGGAATATGATGGGTTTGTTTATGTGGAAGCCCAAACAAACCTTGGGAATGAATGAAGGATGGGGACATATTATTACATTGTCTCTGTTGAAAATGGTATAAGGTGGAATCACCATCAAGGCTAACTCACTCAGTCAGTGGGCAGAAGTAATCGCCAGTAGGAAAACCACCTTTAGCATCATCATCAACAGTGGATAGGTAGCTAGAGGTTCAAAAGATGTGCAAGTAAGAGAGTCTAGCACCATTTCTAAATTCCACAGTGGTGATGGTGGTCTGCGTGGTGGGTATAGATTAGAAAGACCTTTTATGAATCTCTTCCTGATGGGATGGGTGAAGACTGACTATCCCTCTACTCGCTGGTGAAAGGCAGTGATGGCTGAGAGATGTACCTTTAAGGGAGACAGGACTAGACAAGTGTTCTTGAGAGACAATATGTAGTCTAAAATTCTGTGTAATAGCACTGTGTCTGGATCTAAATTTTTGCCAGAGCACCAGGAGAGCAATTTATGTCATTTCTAGAGATAGGTGGTCCAGGTAGATTGTTTTCTGCTATGCAAAAGAATCTCCTTCACTTGGTCAGAACATTGGTGTTCCTCCTGGTAGAACCAACAATGAACCATGCTGCTAGGCACAGGAGTTGTGGCTGAGGGTGGAGTAAGGTTCCTCCGCTCTGAGTTAGGAGATCATACTGAATCGGAAGGTGGTAAGGAGGCTAAGGAGACATCAGATGCAGATAGGGGAACCATATCTGATGTGCCCAAAACAGTACTAAGAGAATAACTGTCACTTTGTCTCTGATGATCTTCTTGAGCACCTTGGGAATGAGTGGGATAGAAGGGAATGCGTATAAAAGTGAGCCCTTCCAATTGAGAAGAAAGGCATCTCTTAGAGATCCTGGTCCGATGCCGGCTCTGGAGCAGTAATGGTGACACTTCTTGTTTTTGTAAGAAGCAAACAGGTCTATTTTCAGAAGACCCACTGTTGGAAGATGAATTGGAGAACCCGGGCATGCAGTTTCTATTTGTGGTCCGGGGCAAAGTGTCTGCTGAGGGTGTCTGCTGTTATATTGCTTACTCCTGGTAGGTATGAAGCTCTGAGGGTGGTGATGTTTTGTATGCACCAATTCCATAATCGGACCACTTCTGTGCGTAGAGTATGGGATCAGGCACCTCCCTGGTGATTTTATAATACATCACTGACATATTGTCTGTTAATACTCTGACAATTTTGCTGTGGATATGTATAACGAAATGCTTGCATGCATTGA